GCAGTCCCCCATACAAAAGTACATGCTTAGCCCACCCATGGCACACACTTGGACGTTGGAGTTGCGGCTGTAGGCACAGTGGATGGCACTTGATGATGCGTCGAAGAGAACACTTGTTACAATGGGGCACCCCACAACATCCCACATCACATTCCAGTCATATATTGGGAACATCTCCTGATGATGTTTTATCATTTCTTATACTATCACCAAGAGATGTTCTCAATACACGGCTGGAATGTGCTGTGGGACATTGTGGGGCGCTCCCCTTGTGAGGGGCTGATATGAACTCAGTATCTGATCTAATGGGAGACCGTGAATGTGGCCACGTCAGATCATGGGTGACTCAAGAGCTGCCCAACAGAGAGTATTTCCCTTCCCTGCCTTTGGCCACAGCAAAAAAATAAAAAATACCAATGTTATTGAATTAGAAATAAAATTTGGGAATTATTGCTCTCTGACCCATAATTTTTTTATGGTAGTAAGAGGGATAAATTATATATAACTTGGTTTTGATATATTGAAAGAGATGGGCGTAGTAGTGGGGAGTGGGGTTTCTCTAAGACTGATCATTCAGATTATTTTGTTTTATTTTAAATCATTCTGCCGACAGAAAACGAGACCATATAGAGAGAGCAGGGGACTATGTTCTTCTCCCTTCTATCTTTTTCACTTCTTAGTTAGCACTTCATTGACAATGGATTTCTGCCGGAATGTGTCTGTTTCAGCGGGCTTGCCGTCGGACCTCCCGTCGGAGCAGGTTATTTCCCCGGCTTACCCAACGCTTGGGGCCTTGTCTACTTCTCTAGACGACCTCTTTCCCTGCGAGAATACAGTGAGTATTTTTCTCTTTCCAACTTGTTTGTGGTACACTGGTACTACTCGAAGTCGTTGGTCTTCTGTTGAAGTTCTCCCTCGGGTTGCTTTGTGGGCTTTTTTTAAACTTCTAAGTGTGTGTTCTTTGTACTTCCATCTCTCTCTCTCTCTCTCTCTCTCTCTCTCTCTCGAACTAACTTTTCCACTTTACTTCATATTTGAGTTTCTGGGTCTTAATTTTTTTTCCTTTTTTTGTTTGAGGTCTGTATTTGTACTTCTCATTTGGGCTATGTGTCCTGCTTGTTTTTCTTTTCATGGAGATATTGTTCACTTATGTGTAGTTTTTTATGTATTCCCTTAATTTATATTTTATGTTACTGTTTACTCTATTAGTTTGCCTATACTTTTATCAGTTACTGTGATTGGCTTTGATGGGCTAGGCTTTATGATTCTTTCTGTTAAAAGAGCTGTTTTCTTTTGTACATGCAGGAAGATGATGTTAGCTTAGAATGGCTCTCAATCTTTGTAGAGGACTGCTTATCCAGCAATGGGAATTGCATACCAGTACCCACAAGTACTCAAGGCCAAGAAAGCCAAACCATAAGACCCTTAAAACCCTCAAAAAAGAACCATGGAAACCCATGTCTAGGAGAGTTTTTTATCCCAGGCAAGGCCAGAAGCAAAAGGAAAAGGAGCAGGGCAACCCCTTTGATTAGTTGGTTTCAGAAAGACCCACAGAACCACCTTCTCCATGCTGCCACCTCAGACCCTCCATTACTCCACCAAGCTTATTGGTTAGCTGACAGTGAACTGATTCTACCCAAAAAGGAGAAGAGCAGCAGAAATGAAGAAGAAGAAGAAGAAGAAGAAGAAGAAGAAGAAGAGGAAGAAGGAGAAGAAAAGCCAGAGGAGAAGATGGTGGGGAAGGACAGCAGGGGCAGCTCAGGCAACTTGGTGGAGGCTAGTGTTGGGCAGCAGCCTAGGAGGTGCACCCATTGTCTATCACAGAAGACACCACAGTGGAGGGCAGGACCTTTGGGTCCCAAGACCCTGTGCAATGCATGTGGTGTGAGATTCAAGTCAGGGAGGTTGCTGCCTGAGTACAGGCCAGCCAAGAGCCCCACTTTTGTGAGTGACAAACACTCCAATTCTCATAAGAAAATCATGGAGATGAGAATGGCTATGCTCTCTTCTGTTTCTACTGAGTAATAATGTTGAGCTTATTCTGTAGTCTCCTCGGGGTTTAGCTATAAAATTCATACTTCCATGTGGGTTCATTTCAATATTTCAATTTTGTATGTAGTCTTTAAATGGAACTGAGCTTCCTGTTTACTTCTTTTGGGGGATTTTTTTTTCTTTTTTTCCTTTGTTCAGTTTATGTTCTATTTTTTGCAGGGATGTTTGTTGATATTCCATTCTTTGTGCCCTCTGGTTTGATTTCTTGAGTCTATTTCTATGTAATATCCACAAAGGAAAGCAATGGCCAACTGGGTCTAAACTCAAATTGTCAAAACCCTTGTACATGGTTTTTTTTTTCTTTAATTTTTTATTGAAAAATTTTCCATCGGGAAGTTGCAGTGCTGTGTATCTGACGTCAGAAAAAGTGCACTCTCATGTGAAGGGCCCCCTATTTAATAAAAAATTCAGATTTTTTTTTTCAAATTCTGTTTCTGTTGCATCTATGGAATATAAACTTTTTCCAGAATATTTTTTTATTTTAATTTTCTTTCCAACGATTCTAAAAAAAGTGAAAACAGTTTTTTCACCAGAATATTGTCCTCTTGTTCATTTGTTTTTTCACCAGAAGAGAAATCCCTTTCTTTTCTTCTTATAGATTGAAGGAATCACAAAATCCAGACTGAATCATGGTTGAGACTTGAGAATTGTTGCAAAGATGAGTTTGTTCTTCATCTACTGTTTTCTCACTCACAGTACTGTAAATAGTACAAAAATAGAAGTCAAAGATCATATTTTATTAACAACGCAGAATGGATCCATTCTGGATTGATGAATTTGTGCTCTAAAGAAGAAACCCACAACGAGTTCATTTCATTTTCACCGGCATGAAAATACTGCTACTGCTCAAGCCTCCATCTGTTTAGCTATCCATTGGCTTTGAGACATTAATAACTGCATTCATCTTCCACAGATAAAACTCCAAATACCAGTGCAAGAGAGAGCTTCACAGTTCAAAAAGCTTGTCCATCACTGGCTGTTATATCACAAGATGACAACATTTGTACAGACTAGTGTTGTCAGATCAGACAGTACAATCAGAAAGCTTAGTGTATATATATATCACTAGCTAGTTTACCGGATTAACTGGTGATTTTAATCTCAGTAAATAAAAGATTGTCACTGATAAAATAACAGCAATTTTAACCTGGGGGGCTAGGGTGGTCAACATTATCTGTTTGTCCAAATTTGATCATTCCATTCCTATGCGGTTAAGGAGATGAGAACTGATGTAACCGTTTTTGGTCACGTACCATTTTTTGGGATGTGTAAAATTTTTTTGGCTAAGTACCTCGTGTTTGACCTAGTGGTGACGTGCCTTGGTGATGAGCTACTTGGTGGC